GTTTGCAGAGACAGTATGGCAGTTTCACTCGTGATTGGAGGCTCGTGATTGGGGGGAGTTTGTTTGCAGACTCAAGCTATTTCAATCGGTATTGGAGGCTAGCAATAGGAGGAAGCCTCTTTGCAGAGACAAAGTATGGGCAGTTTTGCCACCACACGGTTCTCTCCTCAGCTGACTTCCTTGAATAAGACGCCCTTCAATTTTTGGCGTAAGGATTTTAGAAAAAACTATCGTCTTATAGTCGGAAAAATACGGTATGCTACCTGCATTTAGGAATGTTTCCATTGTTTCCAGTGCAAAATTATTTCCTTTCAGCTCACTCTAGTTCTCAAGGTCTTCATCACATGAATGATGATAATAATAGCCCATCCTTTATTTTGGGTTATCAGTCATCCACTATATTGACCATTAGATGTTGGTTGCTTCTACCCAAGTTAGTTTTTCTGTTACATCAGAATCATGCTCATTCATCTCACTTTGTATATGAACTGAGAAGAAGTTTAACTTTCCTGGGATCCATAATTCCTCTGCATCTATTTGCTGTGCAGCATGAATAGAGTCTGACTTTTGTGCAGTGCTTTAGATTCACAAGGAAAAAAGGTGCTATGTGCATACCTCATTTTTCTGTTTGTGATCCTTGGATTGCTTCATAACATACACCAAGAAACACTTACCTTTTCCACTACAATCTTATTCTTCAAATAATGAGTCTGGCATTTTGTTCCTGTCTTTTTTTACCAAAATAATTTTTATTTTATCTGCTGATTGAACACACAGTATGTGTGTGTGTGTGTGTGTGTGTCTGTATTTCAATGACTGCACTTCTCTGTTACGCTCAGAATAGCCCAGCCTTAATGACACTACAAATAATTAGTTTAGAAAGAGCAAATAAATAAAAATATTAATAATAAAATAAGCCACTGACATTATTATTGATACTGTAAGTCTTTTGCTTGGGCTTGGCACATATGGCATACATCTACTCATGTGCACCTCTTTCATATTACTATGCCTGATAATTAAATTAGTTGAAAATCACAACTCTGATTATTATTGTTTCAATTAAACTGATACTAAGAACACATTTAGTGAAGCCAGCCACTGTATTTGTTGCTCCCTATTTAGTATTTTGCTTGTATGGGTTTACATAATTTTAAAAACTGGCAATTTTCAGAGTTCAAGACATGCTTTTTGCCTGGCTTAATTATTCATTGGCTGCCTCTGCTGAATAACATGCAGTAGCATTAAGTGCTTTTTTGTTATGCTGTTCCAGTGAGCATTGGAAGGCTTATTTGATTCAACTTCAAAGCACTGTGGAATTAAATTTTTGCTTCCCTTTATGAGTGAAAACCTATAGAGAGAGACATTTCCAGACAGGTTCATTTGATGCAACCTGAGCATCAACCTGAGCATTGTCTGTAAAGTCTGTTTACATTTAGAAAGCACTGTATATTTATTCTTTCACTGTGCAATGCTGCCTTGGATCAACGAACACATATTACAAGCAGCTTTAAATATCTCCTATAGTAACAAGGAAATGCTAAACTGTGAAGAGATGACTCGTGCTTTGAAAATGATCCTGGAGTATGCCTTAGTAGAGGAATATGATGTTTTGCCACATTCTACTTCTACTAATACAGTGGAACCTCGGGTTACGAATGCTTCTGTTAACGAACTTTTCGGGTTACGAGATCGGAAG